AGCTACTCTGCTTGAGTGTCAGCGGTTGCTTTACTTGTTATTGATTATAATTTCATAGAGTCTACGTGCTTTTGCCAATGTAGGTAGCAGTACTAGCTACCCTTGCTATTTTAAGAGTGGTTGCTGCTTCTTCTTCTTCACTAAAGGAGAATGAAAATGTTAAAGTCAAATGCATAACATTTTCCCAGCCCCCTGTTGGGAACGCAGCTTTAAGAGAGTAGGTTTCTGGTCCTTTTTTCAACTGACTTTCTGTGGTCTTTCATAGTTAGTGAAGATTACTTTTTCTTTTTTTCCTTTTTTTTTTTTAAATTTCAACATAACTAAAGTTATATTTCTTTTAATCTCTTATAGTTATGTTAATAGAGAGGGGTGGCAGCATTACTTCAAGAGTTACTGCATTCCAGAAGATCTGGTGCCTCGCATCTTGTCTCCTGCTTATTTTCACCATTATAATGCACAACCTCCTTCAGTGCCCGATGAAACTGAAAGTACTAGCATATCCATGTTAAAAAGTGAGGAAGCAGTTGGAAAACGTAAAGAGAATGAGGGGGAACAATTGGTTCTTGGTTTGGGACCTGTACAGACTTCTATCTGGAGACTTTCAAGGCTTGTTCCCTTAGAGGGCGTAAGAAGACAATTTAATAAATTTAGAGGAAAGAAAGTTAATTCTGTCGAGACATCTTCTCTGTCAGATTCTGCTGCAACAACTGTAGTAGATGATGACATTGTTGAAGCACAGTCTCTTGAAATCCAAGAGGGTTCTGATGGTATATCTCTTAAGCCTATCTCTGAAACTGATAAAGAGCCACCATATGTGTCACCAAATGAGAAGTCAGCTAAAGCAAGCACTGCTAAAAATGGGGATGGCAGGACATGGCGTAGAGTGCCTTATTTACCTTCTTATGTACCATTTGGGGAGGTATTACAATACAAACTGGTTACCCTTTTTAATGATTTTTGAGCTTAGGGGCATGCATGAGAGGTTGAAAACTAGTCCAAACTTTACAAGGCCTGATGGTTTTGTATGCTTATCATCAGGCTAATTGTTAAGTTCTTTATAGTTGCGAGCTCATCAGAAACTTTTTATTTTGTGCCAGCTTTATCTGTTGGAAAATTCATCAGTGAAGTCACTATCAGATGCAGAGTACTCAAAGTTGACATCGGTATGAGCTTCCTTTGCATGACCATCCCCCCCCTTCTTTTTTTTGGAACTATTATATTTTCTCCTGCATAAAGTTTTGGCTTTTAACAGTTTTTCTTGCTCAGAAGTAGTTATAAGTTGTAGTGGTGTTTGGAATTTCTCATTTTATTTGCTTTCTTTTGGCAAAGACATTTTCAGGTCGGATCTGTGATTGCGGAACTAAGGGAACGATTTCGATCGCATTCAATGAAGTCATATAGGTTTCGGTTCCAGAGGTAATAAATGACATACATCCAAGAGTTTTTCTCTTTAATGCATTAATCCCATTTTGAGTTGTGCTTCTGCAATATCCTTTCTTCCCAAATTGGTGTTACATCGGTCTGAAGGACTTAGTTTGCATATTTCCGACCCATGAATAACTTCTAAATCTAGGCTCTGTTTGCTGTTTTAGTTTCTCTTGATTTGTTGATTTCTTTTCATCTTGTTTTCCTGTGAAATATAATCGTTACAAATATCGAATCACTTTTGGACGTTGGCCACTGACCAAGCACTTAATGTAGAAATTCAACAAATGATCAAGTCTTCAATAATGGTATAGATCTATCCAGGAATGAGACAAGCTGTTGTGGACTCTGCTCAGTGCATTTTGTTTGAAATCACTTCTCGCGGACTTCCTACCTGGGAATTCACTGTTATTATGAATAGAAATTGGTGCTTTCTCATCTAGGCAGTCTCCATTACACTATCCTTGAGATAATATGCTTTTCAAAATCTTCATAGTTTCTTGATGTGCCTGCTGAAAATAACGCCCTCAGAGATTGAATTTTACTGGATCCTGCATCATGCCCTTAGATTAGCCATAACTTGATTCACATGATACCCAAACTTTGCAATCTTGGGCCATTATGGTTATTGAGAAGATATGCCCAGAAGTTGTAATTTCGGCAAGTATGCTTTGAAAAATGAAAATGTTATCTCATGTACTTCATTTGCACATTAGTATCATGCAATTTTAAGTACTGTAAGTTTCTTACCTTATCTAACCTTGTTTCCTCTGCAGAATCTATGACCTGTGCATGAGAGATGATACCTCACCTTTTTCAGGCATAGAGCAACTGCAGCAGTTTCCGCATCTGCAGCAATGGCTTGGCCTTGCAGTTGCAGGAACTGTGGAGCTTGGGCATATTGTTGAGTCTCCAGTTATTCGGACTGCTACTTCAGTTGCTCCTCTTGGATGGAATGGCATACCTGGTGAGAAGAATGGAGATCCACTAAAAGTTGATATCACGGGTTTTGGATTGCATCTTTGTACACTTGTTCATGCCCAAGTGAATGGCAACTGGTACTGTTCTTTGTAACAATCTTCATGGATGTCTCTGCTCTCTGTGCATTCAATTCTTTATATTAATGTGATACCATATCTTCATTTAGGTGTTCAACAGCAGTAGAATCCTTTCCTGCTACCCCAACTTACTCTTCAAATTATGGAGAAAAGGTGGACCTACAAAAAATGCGAGTCTTAGTTGGAGCTCCGTTGAAACAACCACCAAAGCAACAGATGGTAGCAGATTCATTTATGCATGTGTTTCCTATTGATTCCAACACAGCTAATCTTAATAGGGAGCACACTTCAGGACCATCTCCTGAGGAAAAGTCCATCCGTCCTGAAGGATTAAGTGAATTTTTCATATTTTGTACCAGTGATTTTACCACAGTCTCAAAAGAGGTTCATGTGAGAATTCGTAGGGTGCGGTTACTTGGACTTGAGGTATTTATGTTTTAATTCTTGCTTGAAAACTCTCTTTATATATATTATTTGCCATCTAGTGTGTAGTGACTCACATGATATATTTCCCATGTAGGGTGCTGGCAAGACTTCACTTTTTAAGGCTATATTATCCCAAGGCAGAATAACCAATATTTCCAATATTGAGAATCTGCTTCCAGAAACTGATGTCCAAGAAGGTATTTCTCGTGGTTTATGCTTCTGTGATTCAGCAGGGGTAAATTTGCAGGTATTTCCTCCTTGTTAAGGAATGTCCATATTGGCATGGAATATCTTATTCTTTCACATGGTTTAAAGTCATATATCTGGAATTCATATTACAGGAGCTGAATATGGAGGCCACTTGTTTCAGAGACGAACTATGGGCAGGAATTCGTGATCTTAATCGAAAGACGGACTTGATTGTTCTTGTTCATAACCTGTCTCATAGAATACCACGCTCTAACAACTCAAATGGATCCCAGCCAAAGCCAGCCCTTTCACTTCTACTGGATGAAGCTAAATCTCTAGGAATTCCTTGGGTTCTTGCCATAACAAACAAATTTTCTGTCAGTGCTCATCAGCAAAAAGAAGCAATTGGTGCTGTTATCCAGTCATACCAAGCATATCCAAGAACCACTTGCGTTATCAATTCCTGTCCATATGTCATGCCCAGTGCTGGTGCAAGCACTGGAGATGCTGATGAGAGGATGAGTGCTCAAAAGCTTATTTATGCTCCCATAAATCTTGTTAGGAGGCCTTTCCAGAAGAAAGAAATCATTCTCCCAGTGGAGGGTGTCAACTCTCTTCGTCAAGTAGTCCATCATGCGCTACGAACCCATGAAGAAGCTGCCTTTCAGGTAAACAAACGTCTCATCATCCTTATGTCACAGTAGCCGATGAAGGGTAGTATTTTTGTTCTAATTCTTTCATTCCTTACTGCTCTCTAGATTTATTGGCTACTGTTTCACTTCCATATTATAAGTTGTGGTCTTCAGTTATATCATTTCATTGTTGATATGCTTTATTTGCATTTTTAAGGAACTTGCTAGAGATCGGCTTTTGGTGGAAATGGCACGAGAGCGTGCAATGGCTATGGATGCAAGCCGTGATTCTCAAGCTAAGGCAAATTCACTTACATCTGCAGCTGTGGGTGCTTCCCTTGGAGCTGGCCTTGGGCTTGTCTTGGCTGTTGTCATGGGTGCAGCATCTGCCTTGAGGAAGCCTTAGAGAGCTCACTTCTGATATCTTCAACATTATCAGTGGTTGGGTATAGCATCTGCGTTGTTTCAAGTTACTGGTAGCGGATTACAGGCCATTTTTTCATTCTTCTTCTGTTAAATTTTCTTTTTTAGGCAAGAAAAATAGGTGGTCTTGTATATGGGAAATGTTCCTGAATGCTATATTTTCTTAGCTTGTTTTATTTTTTCTAATGTATAGATAAATTTTCTTGATCAGATATTTGGTTCATGTAACATTATTGTACAACTCCAATAGTCTTCTTGAAAGGAAAAAAAAATTATAATGCTTCAAATGATTTATAACTATATATATGCTTTTGCTGATAATGATCATGCCCATTGGCCTCCAATGAATTTTTAAGGGTTAATCTCAATTTAGTACCTTAAACTCTCACCCTTAAGGCATGTTTGCTCATGAACCCTCAATTTTAACAACAAAGTACCCTAAATTATTCAATTTTTAGCAATTTGATTTTAGCGTTAACTTCACCATCAAAATTTTCATTAATTGTCTATGTGATAGGTTTGGGTCGCAACTGTTCACTTCTTTCGATGTTCATTGAAGGGTATTTTGGGATAATTGGTGTCTTCTCGCCCAAACTTGCAAAAAATGTATCATAGGTTTTAACAACAGTAATTGCGGAAGACATCAATGCCCTGAAAATACCCTTCAACTAAGATCTAAAGAAGCAAATAAGTGGAACCCAAGCTTGCCACATAGGCAAATTAACAAAAATCTTAATTGTGAAATTAACACGGGAACCAAATTACAAAAAATTAACAAGATTAGGGTACTTGATTGTTAAAATTAAGAGTGCAAGGGCAAACGTGCCTTAAGGGTGAGAGTTTAGGGTACTAAATTGAAATTAACCCAATTTATAAAAAGTAATATACATCTCAAACATGCTTAAATTCCAATCCAACATAAAGATCTCAAATTGTTCAAAAATCAGATTTTGGGAGAAACATGTGGGTGTTTCCCATACTCGTATGTATACCTGCTCCTTCATCACTGAAACCTATTGTTGAATTTACTCCCAGGACTCACAACACAATAAGAACTTCAAATTAAAGAAAAAAAAAATATTCTTATTGATGGCTAATCCCCAATGACAGATTTGTGAATGACAAGCTCAAACATCAATAACCCTAGCACCACCCAAAAGATAACCAGGATAGAAATATTTGTTTAGGGCTGGGGAGAAAGAACAGTCTAAAGAGAAATGTGAAACTTGAGTAATAGAGAGAGATCATCCGGCACAACACGAGAGATTCATCCGACCTTTCCTTGAGTCTGCCCCATTTTTCACCAGGCTTACTCGATTGACAGATAACTCGGCCTTGTAGGAATCGGAATTGAGGACTTTCCTGCTGACATTGTTGTAAATCTCCCGGATAACCATCTCGAAAGCCGTTTGAACGTTGGTAGCATTCAGTGCAGAAGTCTCCATGAAGAATAGGCCTTCTTCTTCTGCAAGGCTTTTGCCATCTTCCACGCTCACATCCCTGATATCCTCCAAATCACACTTATTTCCTACCAACATCCTTGCTACTGTTGTTTCGCAATGAGCTGCATAATCATTCAATTAAGCATTAACTATCTGACCCTTAATAGATTGGAGATATGAACATAAATTCTTCTTATCAATTCCAGGGATGGTAACTAGATGATAAAAATAAGCATAATAAAAAATAAAATAAAAAAGCTGAGCAACCACAAATCATAATGAAACTACAAAGATTACCATGTTGACATAAACCTTATATATTCAGTACTACGGCTCGTCACCTATCACTCAGAACTTTGTTGTGCCTTTGTTGCATTGAAATTTATATGCCTTAGTTAAGTAAAAAGAAGAACACCTAAGCTAATGCAATGCAATAATAAAACAGAGTGTATGCTTTCCCTGGTGATTGCATATGTCAACAGTAACATGAGCATGTTTTCATCAAGAGGTATCCTATTTCCTAGCATGCTTGTGAAATTACCAATTAATGGGTTTTCCAAACTCAATGGACTTGCATAAGAAGTATTACCAACCCAAAAAGTTTAAACAAATAAATGCAAACCAAGGGGTAGATACAACATGCTTTCTAAGCAACTGTATAAATTAGCCACTCAATTAATACAAGTTATCAATTATGTGCACACACAAAAAAGCTACGATCTATAAAAACTGAGGCAAGACTATCAACCACTGGAAAAGGAAATTATTTAAACCATTAACCTAAAAAGACATCACCCCAATGGTTCTAAGGTATGTTTAAGTTCTAACATTTATGAAAAGATGACAACTAGTTTGGAAATAGTTGCCTTTCAATATGAATAAACAAACTCCATGTTAGGCAGCCCACAAATCATAAAACCCTGAATTAGTACTTTAACGCTTTACCTAACCAAATAAATGTTCAACCAAAAAAGCATCCAAATTTTAGTCCCTAAGAAGATCAATATAAAACACATTCCCTCTTGACACTGGCACTAATATCAGCCACAAAAGTAGTAGCTGTTCCTCATTTGGGATTTTCTGCACCCAGTTATTACAAGTTGTAACCAATGACCATTATCACCACCTACTGGGCACCCACATTAATCACCCATAAGAACCATCCATGAACACCACCAACATGAAGTCAGGCTTTATTCTCAGCAAAGCTGTATCCGGGGAAGCACATGTCCCCAACAAATTAGAAGCCTTTCTGTTCCCAATTATACAAAAGAAGTAAACAAGCAACACACCGACAAGACAACAAATTGTCGTTTCCTTATTTAATTGCATCATGTACAATCAGAACCAGAGCAACTGTGAAAAAAAGTTAGTGGACATGTAACAAACCAAATAAAGCATCCAACAATTCGCAAACCAAAGACAAACATAGCTAAAAAGAATCGCTCTGTTACTGAAAATTGCATATCATCCAAAACCCACAAACATCTCTCCATTTCCCCCACATTTTCTCACCAACTAAACATAAAAAGAGAAAGAAAAAACCAATCTTAACAAAAGGGGCAATCAAAAACTTACTGGTAAGCTCATCGAGCCAGCGCTCGACACTCTCAAAGGTGGTCTTCCTACTGATATCATAGACAATAAGAGCACCAACAGCGCCTCTATAGTAAGCAGAGGTCACAGCCCTGAAGCGTTCTTGACCAGCAGTGTCCCAGATCTGGGCCTTCACCATTTTTCCATCGATTTCCAACTCCTGGGTCAGAAACTCAACCCCAATTGTGGCCTTGTTGTTGGGGTCGAACTCGTTTCGAGCGAACCGCGAGAGCAGGTTCGACTTGCCCACTGCCGAGTCTCCTATCAGCACCACCTTGAACAAGTACTCTTCTCCTCCTACCTCCTCCTCCATTGGCGCTCTCTCTCTCAGAGTCTTCGAGACTGTGAATTGCTTGGCCTTCTTATGAAAAGGAGAGGTTTTGTGTGTGTCCGTAAGTGAGAAAGTGGAACTTTGGGTTAGTTTTATAGCGCAGGAAATTAGCTTTGGACAAATCTGCGTAATTGGCGGGTTAATAAAATTTTGGTGATTTTTTATTTTTTATGGGTTTTGGGCTGGGCCTTAAACTCACTGAAATGTGCGGTGAGCGAAAATATTTTATGTGACCGTCACGTAGGAACGTAGTGTTATTTATTTATATATAATATGAATGGACGTGTTATAATATGAAGCCTAATATAAATGGATTGTAACATTATGCGACATTGTGATGATCACCCAATAACTTTTCTTCAATGTGGGTGTTTGTTTGAGTTAAAAGTCTGATAAATGGCTTTTATTGGCATGCGGATACAGGTTGCCTTTATAAGTATTGATATTGAAAGTCAAGACAGCTAGTTGTGGAGAATATTTAGCATGTCTCTTGGTTTAATGATAACGTATATGATCATCATGTGGATCATTTTGATGAAAAAATAACACAATTGCATTAGGAAAACAAAAATCATTGACCAAAAAAGAAAGAAAATGGTGTCTCAAACATTATCCTAGCTGCATTTGATCATAACTGTCAAATTTCTCTCATTCTCTGAAATTTCGGATTTGTGGAAATGCTAGTAGAATATTTTTTTTTTCTTTTCAAGAGAGAGTTTAAATTTTTTTAAATATAGTTGACGTAATTATAAATTGTTTCAAGAAAGTATGCTTTACGATGCTTAGAAAGGGGTATTGAGGTGCATCCCAAGGACAAATCTTACATAATCAATTCATTTTATTTCTTTAGATCAATCTATCAAATAGTGATACTATAATATATGTGATTGAAAAACTTAAAAAGTGATTTTGGGTCATGAAAATATTTTATGCATTTTCACTTGGTTTCTTAGTATGGATTCCGACGTATTTATAATAAAAACGCTTATAAGCTATGTGTAATTGGGGAAATACATTTCTTGTTGAGCGTAATTTAAATAAACAAAAAATAAAGATGCACATTCGATCTCAGAAATGGAAGTAAATGGAAAAATAATATGGAACTTTCTTTCCCTTGATATATCATTTATTTTTCTCTATATACCTTTCTGGCAGTTCACAAGTAGAATCTTCCCAAGGAGAGAAGACCCATAAAGCAATTGAGAAGTCAATAATCAGTAATGCAAGCCCAAAAAGTTGACCATGAAATGATCAGACATTTCCTCCTGCAGACCCGTGCTTCAGTTAAATGGAGACACTTTACTTTCTTATGATTTCCCAAAAGCAATTGCATTATAGCATGTTTAAGCTTTTTTTAAAAGTGATTTTGTACTGCATTGTTCAACTAATCTAATACAATCAGATGTGCTTGCTCCTATTTCTGTGTAGTGGGTATTGATTGTAACAAAATAGGAACCAAGAAAAATCTTGTCTCCGTCTAGAAGCAATGCTTCTTTTTTCTTTTTGGTGGTGGAATGTTGTGAAAACCAACAAAGTCAAAATTGTCTGCAATGTAATGGTTTCTTCATCCACATCCACCACTTGACTGCTTGGTAGCTAATAAAAACAGCCTCACAAAATGAATCTTTCATCTCATGTAATGCAAGTGAGCTGAGCCATAATGAAGATTATGAACTTGGCATGCCATATTCTTCTCTTGCTAGTTCTAATCTTCTTCTCTTGTTGCAGTGCAGAATCTCAAGACCCTTTGGGAGATTTCTGCAACAAAGACAGTACTAAAATAAGTAATGCTAGCCAAATATCAGCAAATATTGATACTTTATTGGCTCAATTGGTGCCCAAAACTGCTTCACTTGGTTTTTTTGCTACTTCCTATGGAAAAGGCCAAGACCGAGTCTTTGGCCTGGCTCAATGCAGAGGGGATGTTGTGGGCAGCAAAGACTGCTCTAGTTGCATCCAAGATGCCGCAAAGCAAATCCGCCAGCGCTGTCCAGACCAGGCAGATGCTCGAATTTGGTACGACTATTGCTTCTTGAGGTACAACAACAAGAGCTTCATTGGGGAAGTTGATACATCTTATGGTATATTCTACTTTAATGTCGATAATGTGACCGATCCCGAGAGCTTCAACAAAGAACTAGGAGCTCTGGTGGACAAGATTGAGGCACAAGCTGTTGTGCCAAAGAATGGAGGACTTGGGAAAGGTGAGACCAAGCTGTCACCATTTTTGACACTATATGCTTTGGTGCAGTGCACGAGGGACTTGTCTCAGCTAGACTGTTCTCAGTGCTTGGCCATTGCAGTGGGAAATTTCCCAACCTTTTGTGACAACCGCAAGGGTTGTAGAGTTCTATATAGCAGCTGTTATGTCAGATATGAGCTCTATCCATTTTTCTTCCCTCTTGATTCAAACAATACCCTGCCTGTGGCTGATAATACTTTAATGGCTGTAGTTTATGATCCATAGATTATGTATTCATAGTATATGCTGGTTCAAAATAAGCCACAGCCAAAATAAGACAATCCAAAGGAAGATGCAGCACAACAAATTCCATTAACATGTTTGTGTGTGTGTTTTCTATGATAAAATTACAGCTTTGATAAGTATGCATCTTGTATCTTTTGATAATAATGATTTCATTTGACTTTGCTAAAAAGAGATGCAATTATAGAGATGGGTTTTCTTGTGATTGGAAAACCAATACAAGAATAATTGGTTGTGAGGTCATTTTCATCTCATTGAAGTGGGATCTCAGCCTCTCACTGATGGGACCAATTTGCCCCTTAAGATGAGAAAAACTTAGTTGCAATGGGAATTACACTATTTTGCTATTCCCGACTAATAATATTATACTACGTGGAATTGTTGTCACAACGTTATTGATCAAAATAGTAAAATAGTGCTATCCTTATTTCAAGGAAGTCTTTCTCCTTAAAACACAACCATTTGTTCAATTGTCCTCCAAAGCCAATGGAATGCCATGTTCTGGTGGAAATGGGTTTAAAGTGGGGCAAAGTATAAGAAACTGTGTAAAGTTGGAATTATAATGTTGGGTCAATTTTATAATGGTTGACATCAACATCCGCTAAAGATTTTATAGAATAATATTCAAAGATAGTTCCAATGGCCCTGCCAAACTTCAAAGAAAGAATGCAGAAATTTTGTAAGGCTGCCATTCTGATTATAAATTTCCTTATTAATTTACATGTATTTATATGTTTGTACTCAATGTATATCTACAGTTTTGTCACCCTTTGAGTCATTTACATGTTTGCCCTCAGAGTTTGGCTAGTAGTTGGCTTTGCCATAGCTTCTGGGGAAGGGGATAACATCTCTTACATCAGTCAGGCCAGTGGAAAAGAGAACCATAAGATCAAACTCAAGACTGAATCCAGAGTGCTTAACAGTTCCATGCCGGCGAAGATCCAAGTACCATTCGTACTGCTCTCTTGCTAAGCCTAATTCCTTAACCCTGCAAACAAGAAACAGCAAATATGAGATTTATGTTTCCATGTTCACAAGAAAGTAAGAACAGCCTTTTGGCCATGAGACTATGAATACAAGTTAAGACCTTGTAGTTAGAATAGTGATGCGCTCCTCATTTTGGCTACCAGAAATCAACTTTCCAGCCTGCAAACAAAAATGTCTTTCAGCTTGAAAACCAGTTTAAAATAAATGTGGGATTTATAGGGATGGAGAAGTTCTGGTACAAGGGTCTTTCATGATTTCTTTTGAAAAGCATGAACTTACCTTCGGTACAACGATATCAAATGCTGCAACTGTCTTTCCATCATCATTCAGCCTTACATAAAATGGCTTGGCTTCTTTTGGATAATCGTATATGATTACAGGCTTCTGGTAGATCTCATCAGCCAAATAACTGCGATGCATGAAAAAATAGTTAGGAACCACAACAGCCAGAGCTTGATGTCCTTACCACATAACTGTGATATTGGCCTATTTAGATCGTTACCACAATGTTTATATGCATACCTCAGATCTGCTTCTGTTAATGCAGCACCCCACTCTATTTTTGTATCAATTTTCTTCTCTGTAACCTGGCAGATTAAGATCAACAAAACTTCATAAATAATATTTGTGGAGAAAGAAACAATTGTCAGAATTACATCAAGGACCATTTTATGCAATCAACCTTCTTTATAGCATCTAATGCTTCAGTGTAGGAAATTCTTTCAAAGGAACTTGAAATCACTGAATGAAGACGATCAGATCTGGTTTTGTCGATTCGTTGAGAAACAAATTTCATATCTTCAGGACAGTTTTCCAATACCCATTTACAGAGGAACTTGAGAAAGTCATCTGCACAATTGATTGCATCCTGGAAGCTCCATAGGATATGGTTAGGTTTGATTAAAAATATGCAACTCACAGGATCACATCAAACTATAGGAATCAAAGATAACAATTCAAAATGACAGATGATCTTCAAGAAATTTGTGTGCTTAAAATCTGTATTAGACCAAAATTCAATCATGCCAAAAGCATTAGCTTATACCTCTAATTGTGAAAATGCCAATTCAACTTCAAACATCCACATCTCTGCAGCATGTTTCGGGGACTCCTCTTTATCTGCTTGAAATCTGGGACCAAAGGAGTAAACATTTCCAAGGGCACAAGCATAGCTCTCCAGATGCATTCGACCAGAACCGGTTAGATAAGTTGGGCTGGAGAAGAAATCCTCAGAAGATTTAACATTGTCAACCTTTTGAGAAGTTTTTGGTTTTGCTTTTTCTCTTGCTTCCAACTGTGATGCTAATTCATTTGCTTTCCTTAAATCCTGTACTGCAGCATCCAATGCTTCCTTATTGCTATCAGTCCTCTTGAGTTCCTCTACCAAGTTACTTTTCTCCTTCACAGCAGCCTTAATAACATCTAGACTAACACCTTCAAGTTCAGCAATGGCCTTATGATGAGGCTCATCCTTTTCACCTGCTTTGCCAAAAAGACTAGTAATCTGGAACTTTTCACCGAATCCTTTACAGTCTGTGGTCGTTAGAATCGGTACTTGCACACTAAGGAAACCATGGTTTTGACAAAATGTGTGAGCTGCGAAATCCAGCGCATTGCGGATTCGCATAACAGATGCCACCTAAATAAAGCAGAACATGTGTTAGACCCCAAAGACTCAAGCTACAAATCAACAATGTATACCAATGGAATATGTCAAACACTTAACCTTCCACAACAGATCATAGTTAAAAAATTTAAACAAAGACAACCAAATAACAAAGAGAGATACAAATTACCGTGGTTGTTCGAGCTCGAATGTGGCAAAAATCCCTTAACTTATCCAACGGCACACGTTTTTTCGCTAATGAATACTTGCTGTAATCTACTGTTCCAATATGATGTACTTTATCCACTCTCAGCTCGATAACATTTGTGCCATGTACCAAAGACTGCTGGAGCAAACCTTCCACTATGATACAAGTTCCAGTATGCAAAAGCTGGCATGGTGGAGCTAGGGAGGATTCAACAACCACCTGAGAGAGACATTCAAAATGTGCCATATCAAATTTCACTATTGCAAATACAATGTCATTATAATTTTTTTTTGGAGAATCCCCCAGAATAAGATTTATATACATATCAAATTTATTATTATTCGCATTTACCTGAAGAGTTGCAACACAAGAACCATCACTGACTTTCAAGAAGACAGTGGAAGGAGGAGGGGGCTTATGAAGCGCAGCCTCCAGCTTTTCGCGAAGAGGGTAATGGCCGCCGCTTCCTCCCAAGACCTTCACAATTGCTCTTAAAAATGGTATCCGAGACTGAAGAATTTCGACACAGCTGACACCTGATCTGGGTTCAGGTTCATCCTGCCCATGATCACCAACTATAAGGGGCACAGGCTCTTTTCTGACCTCCTTGGAGGACTTCACCCACCCTCCAACCACAACTCTCTCACCAGCCAATTCTAGGCCACCATCCCTTCTCTCCAATATGGTTTTCAAGAGAACCCGATTCGAGTACTTGAAAGTGGTCAATTGGCGGGTTGAGACAGTAGCTGCCATTGCTTGTTCAGATTCCATTTTCAGAGAAAGAAAGATTGAGAGCTAAAAGAATGAAATGGTTAATGGGTTGCAGAGCTGAAATGAGATTAGAATGGTGAAGATGGGATTTGGACATGGTTGTTGGAGGTGATATAAGACAAGAGGTTTGGATGCTTTGCTTGGGAAGGTCATGAGTATGAGGTTTTGAGTTTAGGAGAGGCTGGCATGAAGGAAAGGGATTGTCTCTCAAATTTGAATTGTGCAGGTCTTTTTAGATTGCAGAGAGAGGTAGAGAGGTGTGGGAAGCAAGGTATGGTATTCTTCAAAGTTGGGCATTCGCGGGAATTCTCAAACTTGCTATAACCGACTTTAACCGTTTTCCAAATTTTTGGTCACTTGTTAAAAGAAAACCTAAGTTGAAAGGAACATTTGTTTACTAATTTGCTCAAGACAACCAAAGATTGTATCTACGTCCAAAATAATTGGTCTAATTTTCAAAACTTACACGATATTGATTCGTGACAGTCATATGTTGATGTAGTGAGTGTTGAAGAATACACATGGTCCCACATCAGAAACTTAACAAAATAAAAGGTTTCATCTAATAAATGACTCCACTCCTAATAACATCGGGACATTTTGTATAAAACCCCATACCTTCTAAACATGTGGTTAAGTTGGGGACAATATCAATGTTGCTAGTAGCGGGCCAAGAATCCATCCCTCTCAAATCTTAACATGCTATCAAAGTGAGCCAGTTGACTTGGCCTTATTAACTCAAATCAAATAAAACCTCAAATTGAACCAAAATCAAACAAACCCCAAATTGAAAAAAAAAAAATTTTAAAAAGATCTATGTGGAATTGATTGCATGTGTGGCCCACTAAAAAGTGGTCCCACGTGAGGAGGAATATTGAAGAATACACAGTCCCACATCAGAAACTTAACAAAATAAAAAGTCTCATATAATGAATGACTCCACTCCTAATAACATCGAGATGTTTTGTATAAAACTCCACACCTAATGAATAGGTGGTTAAGTTAAAGACAATATCGATGTTGCTAGTAGTAGGTCAAGAATCCGTCCCTTTGAAATTTTAGCAGTGAACCTAAAAGTAAATCATACATACAACGGTGGATAACTATCAATCATTGACAACATTTCTCTAATGGAGAGTATGGGTGCCTCGTGCCAACGCAAATCTCGAAGTATACATAATAGGACTTCTTCCAGAACACCAAAGGAAAAAAAAAAAAAAAAAAACACTAGTGAAGATGCTGCTTCTAAAATGTACATTTATACTAGTGGGGAAAAAGTTTATGCGAGAAGCAAATCTAGAAACACCATTTCCCAAGTCTGAAACTTTTTGTTTCAAAATTGGTTCTTTGAGAATTGTACATTCAGTCAACGTGTTTTATTTTATTTTCTTGTTGGGAAAATTCTGGGTCTTTCTGTGCCTTGGGGTCCAATAAAAAAAGAAGGAAAAAAGAGATCTGGTAAATTCTAGCATGTGTAAACCACATGATTGGTATTAGGGTCCAGAGACTATACTGTGGGGTAAGATTTTTGCCACCATGCTTCTAAAGACAAACAAATGATTTGCCAACTAAAAATCCCCCTTTTACCCTTGAAAATATTATGTTTGATTATCATAATTTATGGGCATCTTGGTCATTCTTCAAAAGATTCCCTTATATAGGGACCAAATCTTAGGTGTGTCTCCTCTGAGTCTCTGAGTCAGTGCTGCAGCCTATATCTTGTAGTGGCTGAGTAGCTTTAGCTGCTTGCAAAACCTCTCCCTCTCCTTCCTTCCTCTCTCTCTCTCTCTTATCCTTCTAATATACTGAGTCTCTGAGTCAGTTCTGCAGCCTATATCTTGTAGTGGCTGAGTAGCTTTAGCTGCTTGCAAAACCTCTCCCTCTCCTTCCTTCCTCTCTCTCTCTCTCTTATCCTTCTAATATATTGACCACAAATATTTCATCTCTCCAATTCAAAGTTATTCCAAAACCAAAGGAAAAAAAAAGAAGAAAGAGAAGAAGAAATGGCCAAATCTACAGCAAGACCTAAATTACTCTTACTATTCTTCACATTAATCTTTGCAGCATATGTTTTACAAGGTTAACCATTGCTAGCTCTTTCCTTCTTACCCTCTTATTTCTTTAAATCTTCCACATCCACACACACACACACATATCTTCTTAGCTCTAATCTTTCATTATATGCACTTTTTTTTCACCAAATTTTGCTGTCTTTTGAAAAGTATATACGTTGCATATGTCTCTCTCTCACTGTTGGGTATTTTCCAAATTTGTTTGGATTCAAATGGGAGCCAATTGTCCAAAATTTTCTTCCCTTTTCTTTTCTTTTCTTTTCTTTTCTCCCAACCACCAAATCACCAAGCATTGATAGAGCATCATGCATGCCAACTTGCCAAGTTTGTTTTGAAAATGGCAACATTTTGATTCTATGTTAATTTTTGCTGCAGGATCCAGAACCCAAGTAGCAGCAGCACTTCCACACCAGCTAAGGGTCTATGATTCTTCTCCACCACAAGAAGAACAACAACTTAAGCAGGTGAAGAATTTATTGACAAGCATATGCAAATTAACATTTTTCTGCAATTCTGCTGATAATTGCTTATCGTTTTGAGGGTATAGAGCAGGAAGGAAACCATGAACTACGCAAGGAGATTGATGATTGGATCCACAGCACCAACATGCACTTATAATGAGTGCAGAGGGTGCAAGTTCAAGTGCAGAGCAGAGCAAGTGCCAGTGGAGGGAAACGACCCAATTAATAGTGCCTACCACTACAGATGTGTGTGTCATAGGTAAAAATAAAAAAAATTATCTGATAGAGATCATTTCATCATCATCACATTGTGAGTTTGAGAGTCCCATTTTTGCAGGTATGGCCAGAATTAAGTTAGTGGGGGGAGGGGGGTGTCTTAATTTGGATGTTGTAGTGTATGCTCTGAATTTTTCAATGATGAAAAGGCTCATGAATTTTTGTTAACCTTCTTCCTTCTTCCTTCTTCCTCCTGTTTTTTTTTTGGGTAGCATTGTATTTCTGTTTCTCTTTGTGTTAAGCTGCCATACTCAGAACTCTGAAGTACTACTCAAGCAACAACCCAAAAATATCCAGGAATAGACAAGGAATATAGTTGTTCATTTCTTTCTATTTTCTAGTTCATGTTTTGTTTGTATTTCCCATATGTTGATGCTATCGTTAAACCCTCCAACTTTATATTCTCCCCCACTATTGGGTTTCTAGGCAAAAGAATCTTAGCTTCACGGGTTTTTAACTTTAATGGTAGAGCACTTATCTGGTATTAAATTTTAGCAAGAATTCGATTTTCGTCCCCATATACCCAAGAATCATATTGCAGTCCAAGGGGGTAAAATTAGTGTACATGGTAAATTCCTTTTGAAATTTTACTTGGCAAATACAATCAACAAAGAGAGCCTAAACCTTTGTTTCTTTTTATCACAAATGGTTCATGAGGTTTGCGAAATTATCACATTTGGTCCTTTATGTATTTTTCTGACATTGTTGGTCCTTTATGTTACACCTCACACGTTAATTTTGTCATGTCGTGAAGTTCCGTCAAATTTTATGTTAAATTGCTAACATGGCATGTATGTGGTACCCGCATATCCAATGAGATAATAACATGTGAATCTAAATAAAAAAATAATTTTTTTAAATGGTTTAACATTTAAAATCTTAAAAAATAATTTTAAAAAACTCTCTCTCTCTCCCACCCCCAAGACAAACGTTACGCCATCATACAACTACTCCCATCCCCACCTGAGATCTACCCCCAACCCCACCCGACACCCATCCCCCATATCCTACCCATAGTATTCTTTTTTTGTTTAATCCATGTGGCATTCATGTTAGCAATCTAACATAAAATTTTTACTGAATCTAACGGCATGACCAAATGGATGTGTGATTGTAACATAAAGGACAAATAATATCAGAAAAAAAAAAACATAAAGAACCAAATGTGATAATTTTGCAAACCTTAGGAATCATTTGTGATAAAAACCCTATTTTTTTTTTTCTTTACGGGTTTTGAGTTTTGGGCATTGAAGGGCAGGAGAGGCTGTCTGCAAATATGCATATGTTAAATGAAAGTGGTCCTAAAATTGGGGCAGAAGTGATGAAAGGTTCACATGGGAAATCTGTTAGTATCCTTTTCATCTGCACAAAATAACAAAACTGGATTCAATCTAAAGGCACGAGATGCTAAAGGGGCTTGGAGGACCCATTTTGCACTGTGTAAAAAAAACACAAGCATATGCTGCATGCAATTTGCAAACACCCGTCAGTCTTAATAAATGCTTTGCTTTGATGATTTGATTTGATGCACTTGTTGTCCTTCTTGCTGTTGTTATTACTGCACCAGTTTCTTCTTTTGGGCTATTTTCCCATCCACTGCCCGTTTTGGGTAATTTTCGGCTGCCTGGGAAAATATTGCATGCACATCAATGAATGAATCTTTATTTACCACTGATATTGATCTCGCATTCAGTATGGTCACATCTTTTACTTTTCTTTGTCCAATATCCTGTTAAAATTATAGATTTTCTTTTCTTTCACTGTTTCGCAACAACATTCAATTCGAACAATCGGAAGAGGTTTCAAATTCAAATGCACCTCTGTTTTGAAACAAAAAAAGAAAACATCTTTCTGCCATACACATTTTAACTGAAGATGAAAATTTAAAGAAATCTAGACCAAATGCATGCATGGTAATAGAGTATGAAAGGAAATATCGAGAGGAGAGAAGACTTTTTTTGGGCAAAGCGATATTCTAATTGTTCTAATGTACGAGGAAAGAAGAAGAGGGATCGAATTCGGGTGCAATGCGCAATGAGAGGCACAAGGTATTCATTTGTGGAGATAAAGTAGGAGTTTAAATTTTCATGTGGGCCTGGGCAAATAGTGAATCACTTTCAGCTTTGGGCAAGCATATAGATTGGCGGAAAGCTTGGCTCTTTTGTTTACAACGCAAGTGATTGGGCTAGATAAGACTTGGCACAGAAGTCAAAAGTCTGCAAAACCCCACCTCCCAAATTCCCAATACCAGCCCAAACAAGATAGTTGTATTATTTGATTGATCATTAGGACAAATCGTGCTATGTTGACAGTCAATCAACGACTAATCGCCCAAAGCGAGCTCAACATTCCTTCTAGTAAGACAACTTTTGTTATTGGAACAAGTTATAATTGATATGTCTAGTTGATTATCAACATATGATTGCACTCTTGTCTCTATTTTAATTCATCGAGTTGTGCATAATAGGGGCTACCTACTTAAAGAACGTGTCAAGGCCAAGACAGTCTAAAAAGGGAAAATTATTATTATTACTTAAACAAATCAATTTTAGGTGCATAAATTAATCATGAGTACCCTTCATACCGGATAGAAATTCCATTATGCCGAATGCAATGTTCTTTTTTTTCTATCTCTCTCCTCATGTGATTACCGACAATACTCACCTGTTACACGCAAGTGTGTTCTTTTTTCTCTATTTCTCTCCTCATGTGATTACCGACAATAATCACCCGTGACAGATGGGCGTTTGTCCTCAACACCGTCCTAGTACTACTACTGTGGTTTCACAAGTACCGACCCAAACTCTGTGGGAGTCAAAGTCTCCTATATTTGGATTTGATACCACGCTTTTAACTACTAACTTTGTTATAAAGCGAAAATCAGCCACACATTCCAATCCCAATACCAATCTTTGAAAACTTTGATGATGATGATGATGTTAATTCGTTTGCTTTCGGTATATTTGATGGTGATGGTGACCCAAAAGTTTTATATTTCTCCTAAAGGCATATGACTATGACTAAAAGGGCAAGGATTTGTGAAAAAGCCAGAGACCAGTGATTAATTTGTCAAAGGGCTCACAGTTTTGATGCATTTTCTTCCACGAACATGTGAATCCTTACCTCACCATAGATTCTTTTTACTTTGGTCCATAATTCCGTATCTCTGCATTTTCAAATCTAACATGAATGCATGATTGATGATTGTGTTGGGATATAAGTCTATATTTGACTCTTTTTTTTAGTGTTTATATGAATCATGCTGGCAAATATTTTTGAATTCTGATCTTTAGATCCTACTCTTTCAGAGAAGAAGCTTCCACCAGGAAATCATGAAAATAAACGAATTGGGTTGACTGTCGGAAAATAAAAACCGATAATCAAATTCAAACTCGTCATTTTTTCTTAATTTGATTGTTTTACCACTCTACACTGTCACGTGAAAACAAACAACCTAACAATAGCTTTTCTTCTTCTTCTTCTATCCCCTCTCTTATTTTTCTTACCCTCTCTTAATTTCTCAATAATATGGGATTAATTGTTGTATTATATATAATACATATCTCTCTTTTTACTTTGGTCCATAATTCCGTATCTCTGCATTTTCAAATCTAACATGAATGCATGATTGATGATTGTGTTGGGATATAAGTCTATATTTGACTCTTTTTTTTAGTGTTTATATGAATCATGCTGGCAAATATTTTTGAATTCTGATCTTTAGATCCTACTCTTTCAGAGAAGAAGCTTCCACCAGGAAATCATGAAAATAAACGAATTGGGTTGACTGTCGGAAAATAAAAACCGATAATCAAATTCAAACTTGTCATTTTTTCTTAATTTGATTGTTTTACCACTCTACACTGTCACATGAAAACAAACAACCTAACAATAGCTTTTCTTCTTCTTCTTCTATACCCTCTCTTATTTTTCTTACCCTCTCTTAATTTCTCAATAATATGGGATTAATTGTTGTATTATATATAATACATATCTATCTATCATAATGATTTCATTTCCAAGGTGGACCAATGTATTAGCAACATAGAAAAAGTATCATTGGTTTGGTAATAGTTTGCTTTGGGCCTTTAGTCAACTTCTTCTTTTGGTCAACTTTGTTACCCCTAAAAAACGATATCATTGTCTTAGGGAGGGGTGTTTAATTAGCATGCCTAATACGCGTGGATTAATGGATTAATGAACCCAAAAATACAGAGAGAAAGACACACATATATTATAGGGTGGTAATTTTCCCACTCCCTTTTGTTTTTTAATATTTTTTACTATAAGATAAAAAGGAGTGTAAGTGAACAAAAGAGGAGTGAGAACATACAATTTTAAAAAAATGGAGTGTAAGTGAATAAAAAAGGAATGGGAAAATCAGTACCCGTATTATATGGTGAGAATGGAAAATGCAAAAGATTAGTTTTTTTTAATGTTTGATACAATATATAGATATTACAATATTATATTAATTACATGCATGCCATTAGACATTGCAAATTAAAAGTGTGACAAGGTCTTAGAGATTTGGAGAAAATGACACTTTGGATAGCTAGAGGAAGCATCCTATATTACATTATTATATTTAGTCTCATTAGAAACGCGATTCTAATTTTATTATTATCTTCTAACCAATACATATAAACTATTGCATATCAAACAAAACTTCGTAGGAATATTACACATATAATATGTTGTAGGGTTTATAAATTCTATAGATAAACTATAATTGGATAAACAATCTAAAAGCAAAGATTCAGTTTCGACTAAATTAGATCTGCACTTTGTTGTCTCTATCACTAGAATGATTGTACCTTTGGATGAAGAACGAAGTATTTACATTTTGTAATATCAAATTAGCAAGACGCTTGATTTTACCGTTATACGCAATAATTCTATGCATTGGCATAAGTTCATAAGCATTCCAATCTCAAAGTCAAGTTTGGGAGATTCGTCTTCTATTTTTCTCAGTCTCATCACAATTGTCTTGTGAAGTCACCAAATCATACTAGTTTGGTGTGTTCACATCATGCCCTTGATGTTAGTTTTGGGCATGTATTACAGGTTCATGTGTTGATGGTTAGGTATTTGAATGAGGGATCGATAGTGTATATTACGTGTGGGCGTGTGACACTAACTTAGTTTATCGTTGGCCCATTAGTAAG